CTGTTGTGGGCGGTGAGACTGGAGGGTTAGACGGGGCCTAGATTCTGGAGGGCCTGAACGCCAGGATACAGGGTATAGACTTCGTCATAGAGTAATAGGAAGCTAAGGAAGATCTTTGAGCAGCAGTAGGATGTGATCTGACCTATACGTTGGAAGGGCCTCTCTAGATATGAATAGGGGGAACCCAAGGGAGAAGATTAAGTGCAGAAAGACCAGGTTTCAGGCTAACAAGAGTGAGCCCACAGCCTATCCACTGAGCCACAGGCAGGGCTCTAGTTAATACTAAAATCCCTGCCAGAGTGGTTGTGAATCTGCCTGCCAATGCAGGGGACACGGGTTCGACCCCCTGGTCGAGGAAGATCCCACATGCCGCGGAGCAACTAAGCTTCTGTGCCACAACTACTGAGCCTGTGCTCTAGAGCCTGCGAGCCACAGCTACTGAAGCCCACGCACCTAGAGCCCGCGCTTCGCAAGAAGAGAAGCCACCGCAATGAGAAGCCTGTGCACCGCATCAAAGCGTAGCTCCCACTCCCGCAACTAGAGAAAGCCCGCGCGCAGCAACGAAGACCCAGACCAGCCATAAATAAATAAATAAATAGACAGATAGATAGATAGATAGATAGATAAAAGAATGGTACCTATGTCCAAAAATAAATAAATAAATAAATAAAATCCCTGCCAGTATTTTAAAAAAATCTTTATCACTGGCTCCCCTCCTCCGACGCCACAACTTGTTTTTAGATTAACCCTCTGACACCATTTTCTGGAGACTGAATCATGGCCCCAGTGAGGATTAACACTTGGGCCCTTCTTGGCTGGCAGACAGACTCAGAGCTTCAAACCCCACCGCAGCTGCAAGACCACACGGTTTGTCATAAATGAGGCCTAGGATATGCAGGGGAGGCAGCAAACCCCCTTGGAGGGACCCGTTGAAACTCCTTCAGCTGAAGAGATAAGAACCTACAACTGCAGCCACAGGAAATGACAAAGCAGCGACTGATGGGGGGATCCGCTGCACAGGGCTTATTATGGCACTTGCCAGCGGGCGAGACACCCTTATCAGCGAGAAAATTGCATCAGGCCTCCTGAATTACTAGCGATTGGAAGCAGATTTCTTGGGACGCACTTTGTTAGATACCTAATGAGCAGGATACAGGCGGGCAGAGCCCAAAGCCAGCGGGGCGGGGGACAAATGTCTTTGTTAAACAGAATTTGTCAGTTTCCGCTCCAGGCTCCCTGGGGAGGGTTCAGGGCCAGCTAATTGAATTAAGAGCCTGTGCGCTCCAGCAAGAAGGCTCAGGGCGGGGCGAGAGGCAGGCAGGCCGCAAGACGGGCGCTTTCAGCACCGAGGACAGCAGCTGCAACTCGGCTAGTCTGTAATTGCCAGGGCAGGCTGGAACAGTTGCATTTTGCATGATCAGGGACCTAGGGGATGGACTGGGTAGGAGGGAGGCAGAAGATATTAGAGGAGGAGGGGGAAACAGGTGACCCAAGAATCCTCGAGCCTGTTATGCTATTGGCCTGGTCTGGCTCAACAGACCCTCTGCAGGCAACGGCGAGGGCTGAGAAGGAAGAAGGGGTGTCTCCTCCCCACCATGCCCTCATGTGGTGTGGGACAGCTGCAGCAGGACAAGGAACAGTGGGCTGGGCGCTGAGTCTGAGCCAGTGCGCGGTCGTGCATCACTTTGAGCTTTCAAAGTAGGTCTCCTAATTACAGTCCTAATGAAGCAGGATGTGCTGTAGCCACGGAGCGACAGAGTGAGGGGCCACTTGTCAGCCCCAAGCTGCCTCCGCAGGCAGGGCAAAGCCTGCCAAATAGAAAAGCAAATAAGCAGGCTTGTGGGGTGAGCCAGAAGCCTCCTCCCCCGCCTGGAGGAAGGCGGGAGAGCAAGGCAAAGCCTGGGCCCGAATACGGAAGAGCTAGTCCCCAGAGGTCCCCGCTCTTTCCATCCCCATTTTAGCATTGTTTCTCCCCCATTCTCCACCCTGACCCACCGCTTCCAGCAGCCCGGCTCCTCCCTGTAGTCTCAGACAAGGTCCCTCCCATGAGGAGCAAGGAGAGGGGGGCACAAGCCCCTCCCCAAAATGTAGGCAGACTGAAGCTGATGAGCCTGGACAGGTAATGTAAGGGAACAATAGAGAGAATTTAAGCACTATGTGAGGCACTGTGGTCCTCCTGGGACCCCTTACCTCACATGACTAGAACAACTGCCTCTGACCTTCCCTTTGGGGTCTGCATTATGTGCAAGTGTAAAGATTTTTCTATAAAAGTCACCCACCCATCTTACCCCAAGCCCCAGCCTGGGGTGGATCCTGGCAAAGTTCACTGGGAGACCTGCAGGGGTGAGGGCTGGGGAGGTACTCTCGTGAGGCAGCTGTGGAAGCAGGTATAAGCCAGAGCCAGCCATGGAGAGGGCAGAGCAGGACCACTGAGTCTGGCAGAAGCTACAGGAAGAGCAGCTGGGGGTCAGGAGTGGGTGGGATGGGCAGAATAGACTGAAGTCCATAGATACACTGCCTTGCCTTTCCTCCTTCTTGGAACAACACCCCTGCCCACCAGAGACTCATGGGGTGGTCTGGACTGAGGGGTCCGTCTCATTTTTATTTCATCTTTGTGATGAAATTAAATGAATTATACATAATAAATTTCAGAACCCACATAAAATTAGTGAGTGCCCAGTTCTGATCAGAGACCCAGTAAGTGTCAGCTCTGGGTCACTGAGCTGACCCACTTGGTACTGGGGCCATGCAGGGTGGATGTCAGGGTGACAGGCTGTGGAGGAAGAGACTCTCTCAGCAGCGTGTCCCTGCTTTCAGAACTGATGAGGGCGCCTCTGGAGACCCTCTCCCTTGATTTCATTACTTCTGCTTCCTCCCCTAACTGGATTAGATGGCAGTCTATGAAATCCAGGGCATCAAGATTGGCTTTCTGCCTGGAAATGAGGAGAAATGTCATTACAGGTACTGAATCAGCATCTCACCCCAGCCCCAGGGGCCACCTGGTCAATGGCGAGTCGGTCTTTGCCTTGGCTACTTATTTCTTCCTTCCCTCTCTCCTACATCCATCCACCCACCCATCCATCTAATATACATTCTGTAGCTTTTCTGCTACAGCCAATCGTGTTCAGCTGTTCTGAACAGGAGACAGATGTGGTGCTTTTTCTTATCTAAAACACACAGACAACTAGAAAACCCCAAACCATCTGACTGAGATGCTGTACAGAGGGCATGTTCAGTGGGGAGCCTCCGAATGAATGAAAGCTACTGAGAGGAGCAGGTGAGAGAGACAGCCAGGTCTAATACCCAGGGACAAAACAGCCCCAGAAGTCTTGGTTATAAAGTGCAGTCAGTGCCAAAGTCAGCCTCAGAGTCATCCAAAGCTTCACTCTTCCCACCCCAAGAGTCTTTATATAGCAGCTTTCTCCTGGTACCTATTTGATTGGTAGAGGGAGACAGGGATGAGGCCCAGACTGGATTGGATACCTCTGTAGTTGTATGAATGTCCCTTAATCTATTGATGCAAGACTGAAAATGCTTCTTGTTAATGAATTTCTGCACACCAAATTTATTTTTAAAGGATCCTAGAGGTAAACGGAAGGGTCTTTGTCCTGATTCATCTGGTTCATAGGTGTGGTTTTTCATATAGAGCATCCACTTAAAGGGAGGCCCACCTGCACTCATTCTCTCTGTTTGTTCAGGGTCAGACACTTGGGCACTTCTAACCCTGAGCACATCTGTCTTTGTTGGCACTGTGCCCATTGTTCTATTTGCTTCTTTCTAGCACAACACTCTAGACAGTGGAATATTTGTCTACTGTGTGGCCAAGACAGGATTCCAACAGCTGATGTAGAGTGGAAGCGGGTCATCTTTGAGGTCCCTACAAACCTGAGTCTGCATGATTCTTTGAACAATGGGCACGTTTTGGGGGCTAACCATGGATTTCCAACAGAGCTTTCAAATAACCTCTTATACTCAGAGGGAGTGTAAGACATGTCCCTAAGCCCGAGGAACTTAAAGTTTTGTCAGAAAAACAACAATGGCAAATAAGCCTGGAATTAGAGGACAGTGTGAGAGCAGAGAGAGCCAGCTGCTGGACTGGGAGAACCCGGAAAAGCTTTGAGCAAGTGTGGGTGGAGGCCCTGAAGGCTTCCTGGAAGGGCTGGTATTTGATTGGGGTTAAATTCTAAAGAAGCAGAGATGAGAGTGGCAGTCATGTCAAGAGAGGACGAAGAGAATTAGGAAAAAGAACATGGATGGAGAAAGAGGCCCATCAGAGTAGAGGGAGAAGAGACACTGTTTAACGGGTGAGAGGATGAGAGGATGACAAGGAGATGGAATGGAAAGCAAGTCTACACAGCAAAGGGTGTCAAAGGAGCATGGAGATTTTCGAATCTGTTGTTACTGCACCAAGGGTGGGAGTCATAGATGGCACGGTTTGTTTATTCTTTCAACAAATATTTCTTGAGTACCTACAGTGAGGCAGACACTAGGGATAAATGAGTTCCCAGCTTACCGGTAATTTGCATTCGAGCGTGGAGAGTGGGGAAGCAAGGCAGACAGTCAACAAGTAAACACATTTTTTGGAAACGAATTTTCTGGTAGAGCAAGCACTGTGAACACAGTAAAATGGGATAATGTGAATACAGTATATTGGAGGAGGGGTTACTCTAAGTGGGGTGGGCCTCTATCTCAAGGGCACGGCCTCTCTGAGATCACATCTGGGCTGAGACCTGAATGATGAGAAGGGGACAGGCATGTAAAGACCCGTGAGGCTCTCTGGGTAGAGAGAACAGCAGATCAAAAGGCCCTGAGGCAGGAAAGAGCTCGGCTTGTTGGAGGAAAGGCGAGGACAGTGTGGTTAGAGCACAGTGAGCAAGGGAGCAGGTGGTGGGAGGTAGACAGGGCCCAGGCAGGCAGGGCCTCCTGAGCCACGAGGAGGAGAGGCTTGGGGGGTGTAGAAAGAAGGCACAGAGCAATGTCTCTGCACCTTCTCTTCCCAGAGGCCGGAAAACTTCTTGACACCAAACAACAGCAAAGTTCTGCCCATCCTGGACCCCAAGATCTTGGACGAGAAGCTGGGTACCATCCGTGAGTCCTGGTCCAAGGCCACAGTGAGCTCCACAATTGGCTCCAACACATCCACTTCCCAGGAAGCAGAGGAAGAGCCTCAGGTGCCCAAGATGTCCCGAGCAATGGGGAGTGTCTCCCCTCCAGGGCCAGGAGGGCCAGAGTGGGGATGGGGCCTGGAGAAGGGGCTTGCCTGCCACCGGTGAGCTGTTCACTCCTTGGGTGGCGAGTGGACCTTCCCTTTAGGCACACTCTGTATATGAGTCACCCTAAACTGGTGGAAGGTGTGGAGTCTTCATCTTACAGAGTTTCTTCACCTTTGAATGGAACTCTCAGGTGATTTCTTTCAAAACAACCCCTGCAACACTTGTAAGACTGGGTTCCTCTGACTCAAGTAGCCATCGACTAAGAACTTCCCCGAGAGCTTGTCCTCTGGGTAGTGGGAAGCCCCGGAAAGATTAGTTTTAACTTTTGAAAGAGGAAAGTAGGACTCAAAGCAAAGAGGATATTGTCTTTGGTCACAGAGTCTCTACCCTTGATTGTGGGAGTTGGTCTGGCTTCTCGTTACCAGTTGACAAGATGCTGGGAGAGGGATGGTGCAGGCAGCCAGCCGAGGTGATGCCTTAATTTGTTGAGGGCTCAGTGCTGAGTCCTAGCCCCTTGATGCAGAAAGCTCCAGGACAGGCCACCAGAAAGACAGTCCGGTCAAAGGCTCCAACGGAAGTCCTGTCCCAACCACCATGGGTGAATTCATAAGTGACTTCCTCCCTTCTTCCACAGCAGATCCCACGGGGAACGCTGCTCCGGAAGATCCTGAGAAAAGGCCGGAGCCAAGGCCACCGACCCATAGGGAAGCCCTGGGCCTCCTCCTCCCAGGACCTGACCCTCTCCACTGACAGCCTTCGCATCTTCCCCTGGCACTTCTGCACCTTCCTGGAACATGTCCCATAGGAAGAATAGGAAAGGTGCTGTCTGCTGGATGTGCCCAGGATGCTCCCACATGGAACGTCCCTGCCCACCCCAAGGGGGACCCTCCCTGGCAGGTCCAGAGCACTCTGAGGCCATTTTCTACTCTCATTCCTCTCACCTCTGCCCCTCGGGAAGGCGGATCCCGGGCCTGACCTGCCAGCTCAGCCATCAGTTGGGTTGAAAATAAAGATTCAGACCTGCCATTGGAGACTTTGGGCAGCATGAATAAACCCAATGCCTGCTGCCTCCACAGCCCGGCCTCATGATGCCCCTCTTGTGCCTCTGAGCAGAGGTAGTGCAGGGGAGAAAGAAGGAGGGGGAAAGGCCAGGGAAGGAAGGAAAAGGGAAGGCGCCATGGAAGGGGAAAGACAGACGGGAAGGAAGGGGAAAGTCGAAGGCCTCCCTCCCTGGTCACAACCCTGCAGAGAGCTCAGGGCTCTCTCCTCCCCTCACCCCTCCAGCTCCGGGAGCCTCCCCTGGGATGCCGAGCCAGCCAAGCCTCAGGCATCACCCAGAGAGGCCCTCACCTCACCTCCAGATGCAGACCTCACACTACCCCGGGGAGTAGGATGAGCCTCTCATCTCAGCCACTGGGTGCTGGACCCAAGGGAGCAGTATGGGCCCCACTCCTGGTACCGTGCACGGCAGGCCTTCTCTGGTTTGGAATCCAGTGAACATTTCTGCTTGGCAAAGGATCCAAGGTCTGAGTGGAGGTCAGTGAGTCTCAGGGTCTGGATTATTTGAGCGAAATTAGAGATGACTTAATATTATATATTTGCTTGGGGAGGTAAGATGTAGAAAGGGTTGGAATCGGCTGAGTTGGAATCTTCATTCTGCTTATAAAATGCGATGGTGATACTGTTGATGGTGAGAATGGGGGAAAGAAGGAGAAAAAAGCAGAGCTGAGGGAGAAGGGCCTTGACATATAGGATGCATCCAATAGGTGAGCAATTCAAACAATATATATACTTTTCATATCCTTTAATATTTAAAGCATAATAACTCGGGTAGTAGGCCAGCTAGTGTGGATCTTCTCTAAAGGATTAAACCACGGAGATGGAACTAGACTGCCTTTGAGAAGTCAAGATTACCCATGAGGAAGAACCGTTTTTGAGCAAGGGGTTGAGTCAACAGAGGGCAGGGGGAGAAATAAGTGGCCCAAGGGCACTAAGACAGGATCTGGGGAGGCTCTGAGTATGAACAAGGGGGCTCAAGGCTGCCCTTTACCCTGTCAGAGACGCTGTGAGTTGTGTCTGTATGGAGAACTAATTCAAGCATGCCCTCTCTGGGTATCACCCCAGCACTCCCACTGGTCCCTCTACCCTCCCCTTGCTGGGCACCTGGCAAGGTCACAAGCACTGGCTGCTCTCCCTAGCTTGCTGTTGACTTAGATACACTCAGCCACCACCTTCCTCATCTCTGGGCTCCAGGGCCCAGGCCAGGCCTGACCCTACACAGATATAGGTAAAGGCTTTGGGGTCCAGCAGGCCTGCCCCTCTCCCTTGCCCATCCCAGTCTGTCCCAGGCCCAGCCTCCAGCCTATTCCCTCCTTGTTCCTGGCTTTTGGCTTCATTCTATTTACCCTCCACCCCTGCCTCAGTCCTCCGAAGCATCATTCTTCACTGTCTCTCTGTCTCCCTGTCAGCACAGATTTACCATGCTGGCTATTCCCACCTCTGCCTCGGTTGGGTCCTAGAGACTCAGCCCCCAGCTCCAGTTCCAAGCCCCTAGGCGGAGCCCAGAAGGACCAGGGTAGGAGCCAGGCAAACATTCATGCAGCCAGTAGAGCCCAGTAACAAGCACTAGAACGTGATAGAATCCCTGGCTGGCCAAGGGCATCAGAAAGAACCTTAGAGAGAGTATCCAGTCCAATCTCCTGATTTTGCAAAGGATGGCAGTGAGGAAGCCCAGTGGTGGGACGACCCCTACCCAATGCTTCCTATGGTGCTTTGCATACAGCCGAGTGAATACCAGATGGCTGCAGAGGCCCACACACCCAGCCCTGGACCCTTTGGCCCACCTGACACCACTGGGTCCTCAGACACTCACATAGTATTCAGGGCAGCAGGCCTGCCCCTCTCCCTTGCCCATCTCACCCTGTCCCAGGCCCAGCCTCCATCTTACTCCCTCCTTGTTCCTGACTTTTGGCTTCATTCTATTTACCCTCCACCCCTGCCTCAGTCCTCCGAAGCATCATTCTTCACTGTCTCTCTGTCTCCCTGTCAGCACAGATTTACCATCCTGGCTATTCCCACCTCTGCTTCGGTTGGGTCCTAGAGACTCAGCCCCCAGCTCCAGTTCCAAGCCCCTAGGCAGAGCCCAGAAGGACCAGGGTAGGAGCCAGACAAACATTCATGCAGCCAGTAGAGCCCAGTAACAAACACTAGAACGTGGGTGGGTAGCAACAGCACACAGCTCCATGACAGGTAGCATGAAGCAACGGGTCACTGTTCCATAGCAACCAAACAAAATTACATAGCAGTCAGCGAGCTCATGCGACCAACAGACACAGTGACAAGCTATAGGACACGGTGCAGGAGCAGTGGAGTGTAGTTGCATAGCAATAGATCCAAGCCATACAATGATATCACACAACACTGCATTACAGGAAGATGCAGCCATAGAACACGGCAATAAGCACAGAATACAGCGTGTACACTGTAGACAGAGTCACAGAACATGGAAAATACCTGACTACCCTAGAACACATCTCGGTGGCAATGGCACTGTCGCAAGGTGTGTGACTCCTGGACGTGCAGTCAGGGAGTGGCCACCAGCAGCAGAGCCTGGGGGTGTAACAGTGGGCCCCAGTGATATGGCAGTGATTGTGCAGTGAGCAAACGATTAACTGTGTCCCTCAGCTCTCGGCCACTGTATCCGGGCTGTGAGCCTCTCGATTCCAGGAGTGCCTTAGTCTGTGTCTGGTCTGGTAGCACACTCCCCAGAGCCCAAGAAACAATTCTGCCACTGATTTCCTCCAGAGCTTAATAGAAAATTGAACACTTTCTGGAGAAAGGATCAGCTTGGGAGCAGAGAAAGGAGTGAAGGAGACCAGGGTTTGTACCCCCTCTTCGGACAGGATGCCACAGGTGCTCCCTGCTGCCCTGGGGCCCGCCAGTCTCATCCCACCACCAACCCCGGACGCCCTTACCCACAGTGTGCCCTTGGATCTGCCTTCAATCCAGTCAGTTCTTCCTCCCTTTATCCGGGACACCTGATTTTGACATAGGCCTTTCAAGTTCCGTTCTATCAAAGTGGGTGCAAAGCTCCAGTCCTGAGTGGACTCACCAGGGTCAGGATCTTGTGGGTATGACCTTGGGTCAAGTGTAAGGCCTGGGCACAACTAGGGGAAGCCTTCACCCCCCTTCTGAGCAGCCCAGGGAGTCTTTTTTGGAAGAGGTGGGCTTTTAAGTGAGGGTGAAGAATGAGATATTAAGAGGCATCCCACACATGGTAACTCTCCAAACACTAAACAACGTGTAAGCATTCCCCGCTCACCCCCTAGATTCCCTGAGCCCACCTCATGCTGAGCCAGGCAATGTCTTCTGACACCGGTGAGAGCCGGTGAGATGAGGGGTTCCATGCGGCCTCCAGACAAGCCGGCTCCATTCACCAGGGCTTGTAAAACCCTTGCCCCTGTGCAGATTCCCCTTCCCCAGCAGCTGTATCAGCAGTTTCTCCAATCAGCCAGGAAAAGAGACACACACCCCCCTCCGCCAGGTGCCCAGTCCTGTGCCCAACAGTGCAGGGTCCTGAGGCAGGTGGGGTGGGAAAAGGCCAAGGTTCTGAGCTCTGGGAGCTCCCCGGCAGGCAGGAGTGACAGAGTAGGTGCACAGTAGCCAGTAAATATTTGCCTTTCTTTCTTTCTCTCTCTCTCCCCCAGCTCCCTTTTTTTCCCCTCCCTCCCTCCTTTCCTCCACTGCTCAGAGGAGATTTGTGGCAGACCAGAGGGCCCTCATACCAGCAGATGAATAATTGACAAGGGCTGTTTAAAGATTCAGTGGAGTTTCCCCAACCTCACCACACTGGAATAACTCATTTCTTTCATTCTCTGTTTGAAAGCCTAAACCCCTCCCTTCATCTCTCCCCTTCCTGATCCCCACGTGCCCGCCCTGCTCTGAGCATAACACTTTTG